GTCTCCACGTGGCGGCTCACTGGATCTACAGTAGCAGAGGGTCGTGGCCACCAGTAGAACTGCACACAGGAGAATTGGGATCCCAAGACACAGGCAGATGACTATAATGATGAGGGTAGTGCGGGTATCAGTAGATGAGTCTGGGAGACAGTCCTCCATTACTGTGTCATCCCCTACATACATTCACAGGGATATAGCATTATGCAAAGAATAATTATCACAAGTGACTTGAAACCTGCAGTTACCAATGGGACAGAATACAGTTAGTGTCCATTATTAGTGGTGTAGGCCTTTGTTTAGAGGCTAATAAAGGAGAAAGAAAAGGGGTCTTTATTAGAGAGGTATCCTCATTTCAGGGGTGTCCTTAGAGAGGAGTTCCTCTGCGTTTAAAGCAGAGATCAAAAAAGACATAGAGTTATGATTTTTATGTATACCTGCATTGATAGAGACGCACTCCACTTCCAACATATTAGAGCAGTTTGCAGGAAGAGGTGGTAGATCTGGCGTTGAATCAACAAGGTCGGTGAGAAACAGCCAGTCTTGCTGGCACTCTGACATAGCCTCAGAGCAGTCATCTTCACACAGAGATACTGCATCTTCCTCTGAGCTGTTTGTTGCTGCAGTACTGCTGCACCTCGTGTAACCTGGTGGCAGTAGAGGAGTGGAAAGACCCTCCACACGGCGGTGTGAATTCTCCATTCTCCACTGCACTGTTTGCGTCACTAAAGAGTGTTCTGAGCAGAGATTCTGATTCCTCCAGTGTCAGATTTCCATACAGCTCCACGGAGCTGCACAGAGGGTGGGCTGTGACACACTGTGGATCAACCCACCAGTAGGGCAGGCAAACACTGCTCCTGGCTCCCACTAACAGGCTGTGTTTAGAAAAAGAGCAGTAGAGAATGCTATTCGCTACTTGCTACTCTAATCCTGCCATAGTCGCTCTGTACGCTGTTTACTTGCCAAAAATAGCTCACAAGGGCAGAAAAACTGCGAGATGGAGAAACATTGCACCAACACTATTATAGCTATACTACAGCAAACTAGCTGCAGACTTGATCGCGAAGGGCGTGACTGAGCAACTGTTTATAGAACTGCAGTCGCAGCACTGAATACACTTTAAAACTTCGGTACACATGTTATCTCATTCTTGGGTGAAGGGTAGGCGAGCCGCCCAACGAACGACGAGACAGCAATCGTGCGCGTGCGCACAACGCGCAGTACACAATACTGCATAAGCTATTTATTTTTGAGTCTGTTTTGGGCTATTTTCAGTTGATTTAGTTCTTTCTTTAGGCCCTTGCACTCATCTACAATGCACTGATGCTTCTGCAAGAGACAAAAACATGGGTGTTTCAAGCAAGAGATAGGAAACTGCTGACTTCTTGCTCGACTTTGAGTTTCTGTTTCTCCTCATCACGAGTCTTCCGTAGCTGTTGCATATCCACATCTGCTCTCTTACACTCCAGCTTCAGGTTAGTCTACAATCATTGGTGTCCATATATCACGATGCAGTGAAAAGCACTATCATGCAAAGGCTTTATAATAAGTAGACAGTGGAACTCTCTGGACACCAATGGGCAGAAGAAAGTCAGTGTCCTTTTAGCATGAAAATGTTCTCACGTGATCAGATTCAGATTTGGCCACTGATGAATTTGAGTTCTGCTTCTGTTGTTCCACTTCTGTTGTTCCACTCCCACAGACGATTCTGCCAATGGCTGCACTGTCAAAAGTAGCACCATGGGTATGCAATCAATGGCTCACTCTTTGATGATTTATTCTTTGCTGTTGATACTTGATCGACTGCTTCAATCTCGGCTCTCAGTTTCCGAATGGTTCTCTCAAGCTTTTTCTTTCGCTTCCTCTCGCTTTCAAGCTTTTGTTTCCACTCACCGTTGTCTAAATGATGGGTATATTTGTACACAAATGCAGAATCTAGGTGTGTTGTTGGGTTATATACCCTTTTCTTTGCGAGCCTCCAATGCGTGCTGGAGTTGCCGTACATTGGATGACAGACCTTCTTTCAAGGCACCTAGATGCTTGCTGTGGTAGGGAAAATCATTAGAGCATTGGATAAAGGATTGTCCCAAACCTTTCGTCTTTGACCTTCCGTATTTGAGCAAGCAAGCTTTGAGCTGTATGAGACAGGGAGCCACTTATATTGTTACTGATTACAAACTTTTACCTTCAGAAAGCGGGCTAGATGGAGACAGAGCTAAAGACTCAAGGTCAACTGCAGTAGTAGTAGTGTCAGGAGTGGTTGTGGGACTTGGAGTGTCACCTCCAAAGGTGGTGGGACTCCCGAAATGAACACTCTTGCTCTTGTTTTGATTGGCGAACTCTAGTAGCTTGTAGTTCATGGTGGTGTGGGTGGTTATCAGGTCTGCTTTGTGGGGGGTGACCCCTGTGATATCCTGGAGAACGAGATGATCCAAGAGTGCCTCCTTCCTCCTTTAGTAGTATGTCAGGAGATGAGTTTAGCCAGTTTCCGCCACCTCCTGAGCCATCTCCTGTCACCAATGACCTTCTCACACGATCTGAATAATGATAGGAGGTTAGCTATAATACAGGTGATGTATCGATTGTGGTGTGACTATTACCATAGGCACTGTGGGGAGAGTAGTGTGCCCTGTGTGAGGGGTGAAAGGAGGGAGATGGGTGGGGTGTGTGTAATGGAGAGGGGTGGCTGCTGGTGCGCTGGGAGGTTGGTGTTGGAGAGAGTTGGGTGACGGTGTGTTGTGAGGTTGGTGCTGTGTGTGAAGGGTGAATGGAGGGAGTAAGGCAGTGGCCGGTGTGATGGGAGACTGATGCAGTTTGTGAAGTGTGAGTGGGCAGATGGTGCTCTGGAGCAGGAGGAAGATGGGTGGGTGAGAGTGTTGATAGTGCGTCGTGGGCCCTTTCAGTGAGACTGGCATTGAGGAGATAGATCTCAGGACATGCAGCCTGCATGGGGGGAAGTGAGTAGTGAACAGCATTGACTAGAATAAGACATTGTTTAGCTGTAGGAATGCATCAAAATAACACGCATATATGTAAATACATTGACATGAGTGATGTATGCACATAAGCCCTGGCAAGGATAGTTTTCTTCATGCATTATGTCTTCTTGCCCCAAAGGGCCTCAATATGAGGCTAATGTAGAGAGTTGTGCAGGTGTATTAGCTATACCAAAGGTGGCACAAAGAGCTTTGGTGACAGGGACAGCTCCTGTTGTCTGCTCACCTACGAGACAAATAGAGTGGGAGCAGCATGTTGTTATATAGAGAGGGGTGGCTACTAGTCTCACAGTGCAGAGATATCTGCCCACACAGCGGAGGAAGATGTAGGACCCTGGCAGAGATGGGCTGTCCAGCTGTCTGGAGATCTCTCCCCTCAGTTCAACCAGGGACACGTTTGGGTCCACCCTGTGCATACCACTCTTTGCTCAATTTTAGGACCGCAGTCCTTGCACTAGCTTGAGGCACATACTATATATATTAGGCTCTCATCATTCACACTCTGTTACAGATTGTGGAGGACCTGACAAAGCCGGCAGAGACAGAGGCCATGCAGGTGGTGCTGTACGCCAGTCTCAGGTCCGGTCTCCACTGACTCTCTGGAACCACCAGTATGTGCAGATCCACCTGACACAGTGTACTGTGCCAATGGGTATACCTCTAAAAAGGATGTGACAAAACCTCATGTCGATGATGATGATGGTGAGGATCCATTTTCTTCTCTGTGTTGTCTGTCTTGGATCGCAAATTTTGGCTTTCAAAACACGCGCGCGCCCTGGATTATGCGCGCGCAGCACGGATCCGACTGCGCATGCGTGCGTGTGAAGATCGCTCCCGAGCGCACGTGTACGTCCGGCCCTAGCTCTCTCTAGCTGCAAAACGTGGGTAGCTACACTCCCGTCTGAGAGAGGTGCCATTAGGGAAAGGGACGAGATGCCAAAGGAAAGAAGAAAGAGAACGCGGGAACACCAGCAGAGGTGCCAACAGGGTGAGTAATATGGTTTAGTTTTACGGTGTGTTTTGTGTATTCCATGGCAATGAAGGAAACAAGGAGGAAATCGGTAAACATACACGCCAAAGTAACCTGTCTGGGTTTTCTTCTCAGAATGTAAGGCTTGGAGAATTATTGCGTCTGTGGATTGGCACGTCCTGTTGTTGTACTAGTGGAGAAGAGGATGTGACGAGGGGTATAGGATATCAATGGGAATTGCTCACAATGAGCAAATGAAATGTGTCCACATCCATTGTGTGTTCTGTATTCTCATCTGTTGGGGTGGTGATTAACCCTCGGCGGCGCGCATGCATAGCGAGGGTTACAGTACTTGGTCTGTCCGTCTGTCCGTCCGTCCACGTTTTCTGCCACCACGCGCGACAAACCAGGTAAAATAGCGACACCAACGGGTTCAGCGCTACACCCGCTTCATTTTTAAAATGAAGATTTTTGTAAAAGTGCCGCGTTCAGAAGTTATGGCATGAAAACCAAGTGAACAAGCCAATATGCAAATTAGCACAGGCTTACCTCGACCGAGTCCGCTTGCTCTGTGTACCTTGGAGGCACAACAAGTCACAACGAAGGGCCTTAATTGACTCCCGCATGCTATCTACTACTGTAGCTAGCCCGTGTCAGACTCTTCGCGAGCTACTCCACGAGTAAACGCATACTACAAATAGCCCAGCCCATCAATTAGCGGTACCGCGCATGCGCAGTTCGCCGAGGGTTTGCACTTTAGTGCTTTTTATTTAGTTTGGTAATGGTACGCCATGGTCGTGTTGACATTGCCATGGTAGTAGGGTCACTATAGGTTACGATAATCCGAGACTCTGCGTATGGTCTTTGTAGTATGTACTGAAATGTCCTCGTACTAAATCACTGCGAAGAGTTCCGCCGTTACACTGCATTATTGTGCTCACACCACAGTGACAGGGTCTCATAATAACCATATGACGTAAATACTCTAACATATTTACAGCATCGTTTGATGTGCCAACCACGACGTAAGTCAGTTGACTTATGCGCTGCATCGTCATTTCCACAGGGATTCATTTTGAAAAAGAGAAGGGTCAACACATACTCAAGAACCCCTTAATCATCAACAGCATGATTGAAAAGGTATGTAACCCTCAGTCGCCTCACTAGATTCACTGTAAGACGAACGGCTCTCTATTTGTCTACTGTGTGTCTACATGTAGGCGGCACTGAGACCGACGGATGTGGTGTTAGAAGTTGGACCAGGTACTGGGAACATGACTGTCAAACTACTCGAGTCCTGTCAGAAGGTATAGAGGGAACAAACCCTCCGTATAATGTAGCCACGTACCCAGACTCTTTTTTGGAGGGACGATAAAGACCTTGGGCACTCACTGTTTGCACATGCACGTAATTCCCACACAACTTTACACGGGGATCAGGATATTTTCGTAAATGCCTATATGTCATTATTCTCTCGAGCGCAGTGACCAGCTGGCATACGGAAGGCTCTAGTTCTGTTGCTGCAAGTTGCATGGTGTAAGGGCTTATCCACTCTTCGGAAGTGTCACTGTATATGGTCATCTCTATACAGCCTTTCGCTATGAGTTGATGATACCGTGTGTGTATGTGTCTATGATACTGTGTATGTGTCTGGTGTTATGATCAGTGTGGTCGTCTTGTCCCCCGGGTCTTTACGTGAGTTCTACAGTGATACCCAAAAGTCATTTAATACGAGTGTAGTCAGGATACCTGAAGTGAGGAGGCTAGTGTTACACAACACATCATCAAACTTTCACCTGTGGATCAGTTACGCACCCTTCTCTATCACGAGGCAACAACTTGCGCTGCAACCAACCAAGATGCCTATGAATGATGTATAGCAGGTTTCTCTGTTTTGTATCTTGTCTCTCACAACATGTTTAAAGCTTGCTGCATGGTTATAAGCCGATTCAAAGAGATTATAAAAATGAGGGGAGATATAGAATTTTAAAAGGGTAAGTATAGGTAGTGGTGGTATAAAAAAGGGAGGGCGACAAATGGGAGTAGGATAGTACCTCTCATTACGGCAGCCTCCCGCGGTTCAGTGCTGGAGGCTGTAACCAATGGGAGGGACAGAGAGTGGCTGGAAAGGCAGACACTGGAACCAATCGGAAACCCCAGGTCCCGGTACATTTGACCAGCCGCACACATGATCCCAGTACATTTCGATACCCATGATCCCAGTACATTTGACCAGCCATGCACGCCCTCCGAGTACACATGTATCTTAGTTTTGTGGCGCAAATAGTGCCTCAGGAAGTGAGATCCTTATTTAATAGCAGGTAGACAGGCACACAGAGTAACCCTTGCTGTGCATGCGCGTCGGGGGTAAGTAAAAACTGGAAGTAGAGCAGGCACGTACATGATATGCTTTTGTAGTAAAGGTAGTGAGAGCTGCAAAATCAACTGTGCAACGGGCAAAACTTTCAATAATACGTATGTACTATATTAGCTGGCAAGTGCATGCGACTGTGATCCTAGCTGTATGCGGACAGCTATAAACTCTACCATATAATGTATTGTGTGATGGTTTCCACTGCAGGTGGTAGCCTGTGAGGTGGACACTAGACTGGTTGCTGAGCTGCAGAAGAGAGTCCAGGGAACGTGAGTATACACCACAATAGCAGGCCGGAGACCATTTTGCCATTCAATTGCAGCTAGTGATAGGGAAAGGATGGCTTGTTCAGCAAGAATAAATTTCTCTACTTGCATAATTAATGGAGATAGTTTTACGGGTGTGCTGTGCTCGTGCGCTGTTGTAGTGTGCATTCAAGAGAGAGTGGTCTGTGAATAAGGAATTGTGCAAGTAGCCGAAACTGTAGGTGTGATATACCCCCTGGGCATGTGTACAGTGCTCTCTGACTCTGGTCATTTGACTAATCAAAGACAAATAAACTATCCTTGAGTGTTGCTGTTGTCAGTATCAGCAGCATGCCATAGCTGTTGTTTTGAACTTTCCACTAGGGACAGCCCTGGACTTGTTGGACGTAACATGAACTCTATAACTACAATCTGAACTGTAGACGTAATGGTCTTCACCGTGCATGCCACGCGTTATCTGAAGCTGTAAAGCAGCTATTGCAGTGCAGTTGACAATGTGCACCACCATCAGTTTCAAGGATGCTTGGAGTGTTATTTCTCTTTGTAGAGTGTCATTAGTAAGAAACTCCTTTAAACTTCAAAGAGCTTCTTTGACACGTGTCTATATACATATTCTGTAGCTATCATGTGACTTGATAATACAAAAGCTTGCCCGGTTTGTTGTGCAATGTTATCCCCAATTGCTCTATCATTTTCCTTGAGGAAGTAAAATGGTTTGTGTGTTTGTCACTACTGAAATGTGTAATTGGTGTGCAATTTATCCCCAAATTGGAAGTTCGTAATTTAGCTTGTTTCCAGGTTAATAATTTATAACCTGTGATGCTGCAGTTGTTAGGTGTTGTTGTTGGGAGAAGCATCCGGTTATTGGTATGCAAGAGAGAGGCCATAATAGGCACTCTATGTTGCAAACAAGAAGTCCTGCACCCATTGCTTATGCACTGAACGAGAATGATCGAAGGAATTGATTGTGAAACTGCATAGTTGAATATGTTGGGAATAACCACATTCTCAGGTCAATAACTGAGTATCCGATATGATATGTACCTGACTTTGAATTTCTGTTACATCACTGTAGAAGTTACTCTTACATACATCAGGGTTGAGCATGTCCTAGGTTTCTGTAGGAGATCATGTTGCACTGTTTTTCTTTTGAGTTCTGTAGTGCCAGATATGCATGGCCGTGTCAGCTTACTTTAGTGGTGTGCAATATGTCACTGGTTAAGGCAACTTGAACCTTGCTAGCAGCCACACTGCAAGTGCTATTCACTGACACTTTGACTCAAACGTAACTCGCAACAGGCTCGCTCTATGTGTCCTGTTGTGAACTACACCCACACTAGTGTACAGATATATTAATGTTGGCGGCACCATATCATTGACTTTAGTGGATCCAGCCATCCCAGCGTAATCTCTTCATGGTTTTAAGACTCTCAATACATGGTGTATGGAAGGAACAGGCCTATGTTATAATGCATAGACATCCAAACCTACTCTGTGGAGGTTTTGAGTGTATCTGTTGTGCATGCTACGTGACTTCGTCCTAAGGATGACGTGGGGACTGTCACATAAGGTGCCCGGTTCGAATCCCGGACCCGCACTGAAACTGACAGGTGGTCCAGAGCATTGGCTGGGAACAGCTCTGGTTCCTCCCCTTACCCACGAATCTACCACTGACCCACATACATCTCGAAGGACAGCGTACAGTTTGGCATTGCACCGCGTCCATAGGCGTCTGTCTGGAGAGATGTAGGGTGGCTTCTTTTTTTTTACTTTAGAAATGGTGCAAAACACTCAGTTATATATTTTTTCAACCTTTAGTCAACCAATCCATGGGCATGGATCCATGGATAGGTTGAAATGGTGCATTATCTCCATTATACCTTTAGAATTTATTTTTTGCCTAAAACAATCCATGGACAAGACGGAGTGATGTGTAACACTCCGTTATCTTTTTTCATCCTTCAGATAAGTGAATATAGCGGATAACACTCAGTTAACTTATGGCCAGTGATGTTTATGCATGTAGAAAAAGCCTTAATTTTCGGATTGCTCTCCATCCATTTCCATTTTTACATAGGAAATAAATCCTCCCCTACCTTAGAAATACTAGCACCACAAAACTAATGTCCGTCTCCGTCTGCGATAGCGAATAGAAGAACTTGGGCAGTAGACCAAGTGAACAAAACACTATTATTACCTCAACCTGATCTGCTTGCTCTGTGTATGGAGGCACAAGCAGTACCAATGAAGGCTGTGTATCCAGTCCTGTGCGCTATGGTGTAGCTAGCCCGTGTCAGACTCTCTGCTGGATAATAGCAAGAGACAACCGCAAGTACAAATCGACAACGCATAGCCCAACCCATCAATTAATGGCACCGCACATGTGTATGGGGTCTGGGTACCCAGGACTACCCACCACCAGCTAGTGAACCTGTTTGTGATTCCAGTCGCCTTCAGGAGTTAATTCTTTCACCAAAGGGAGAGACGAAGATGTTAATTAACCCTCGGCGCGCATGTGCAGCGAGGGTTACGGTACTTGGTCTGTCTGTCTGTCTATCTGTCTGTCTGTCTATCTGTCTGTCTGTCTGCCTGTCTGTCTGTCTACGTGAGTTCTCGCACTACAGGCTACGAGGCGGCCAATGAGCCGGGATTTTGATCTCTGTTCTATTCAATGGATAAACATGCTGAGCAAGAAGTGCGGATAGATTGAATAAAGCAAAGATGAGAGCCCCTGAAACACCTGAGCAATTGCTCTAACCGCTAATGCAACTATCCTGTGTTACGGTGAGACTCATGTTGCTGGCTCCGTCGATGACGCATGGCCCAGCATACAGCAATGCTACAACTTGCGCGTTTAGTGCCGAGGGTTTGCACTTTAGTGCTTTTCATTAGTCAGGTTTTAATAAATATCCGTCATCTGAACTCTCAAGTTGGGGGGGGGGGAGAAGTGGGGAAGAAAATTTGAATACGAGGATGACTTTCAAAACTGATTTTAGTGTAATCTGCTGTTCCACACTTTGGATTCATATACATGCGTATTGCGCCATTCTCGTAGTAAGAAACTTGTGCACGTGTAGTGAGTGAGCTGTAATACCTACATACGCAGTTAGTGATCGAGTGTCCTCTTGAATGAATTGAGGTCTGTGGCAGGGAGATATCTGTCTGTCACATGACTACACCTCCAGTCATCTGTGGAGTAGAGGGAAGCATGTCGTTGCTAGGGACACCTGAAGCCTCACCAGCTGCTACTCAGCTGTAGTGTCAGAATATGGTGAATAGGGATTCTCTGGATTCTACCTCTTGCCATTTCACACACCTTCTATGACAGACTCCAAGGAAATGATATTTTATACTGCTATTGTTGATTACGTTAGTTGGATGAGTGGAAATTACATCATTATTAGGTTGGAATGGGTGGATAATGGAGCGCTGCTAAATTAAACTGTGTCGTGTGTGGGTGTGGTTTCCTTGTACCCCATCCTGCCAATGCTCATGTATGTATATATATGAAAGAACTGAGGACAAGCATTGTTGGTGAGAGAGGTGAGCCACCTAGTCATCTGGTTGTGCGGTTTTTCCATTTAACGACCGACTGACTCTGCACCACAACAGTTATATCCACAAATATCACGTACAGTGGTACAAGTGTCGCTTTGCTTGCCAAAAATCAAAAATGACATTGCATCCGTACCAGACAAGACGTCCCCTGTTCCGCAGCCACTATCAGCATGGCAGAGGTAGTATATACAAGACAGAGAGTTGCAGATCTCCAAACTGAATGCAATCACCTAGGAGTTGGAAGTATGGCTTTGCCTATGTACTGGGTGATAAATTTCTTTGCATATTTTACGTGTACGCGTGAACATGAACGACACTGGATTGTGCTTTTAGTATCAATTCTAAATTTAGCAACTTTGTTAAATTTCTTGTTGTACGAATCTAAAATTAGAAGCCCTGCCAAACCATTCTATATGTCAACGCATGAAAACAGAGCACAGGTTTCGTGAATATTTGACTTTCCCCAAGTGATCACTGCTTTTTCATGTCCTTCATTCTGTAGCTTCGTGCATACTAGTGTTTACATACTGTATGCCATAAGAGGCACAACAAAGGCACCTGCAGGTCTTCCGTTATTAGGGTATGACGCACAAGTAGTCATGGCAACCTTTTACCTCACTGTGATGTAATGAATCGTAAGAAACACCCTCACATGATGCACAGTTATACCACTACAACATACATGTGCATATTGCACTGCAATTGGGCAACGAAATAAAAATTCATGCATAATGATAATAGTGATGATCCATGCTTGACGAGTGCAATACGTTGTGGGTTACTACTGTGGCTGTTGGGGTTTGGGAGGAATAGTATTTGGGGAATGGTCCCCTTTTCACAAGAGAGACGGTTGCTCTAGCAGAGCTTCTAGAGCATGTTGAAAGATGAACGCATTCATACCGACTATGCCTGCTCCTCTAGCTATTACTCTTGTACATTTTCTATGGACGCGCGCGGTATTGCTCAAAGTAACGTGCACTGATAGCTAGGCCAGCTCTGTATGTGCATGTGTTTCTGCCAAAGGTTTTCATTTATAATTATGGTGCTTTCATTGCATCGTTTTCTGAATCGGTGTGCTGGTTGTTAAACTCGGATTTTATTTTGCAATAATTGCTTGGTGATGAAATCCGCCCCGGGTCTGTGTAACAGACGTGCATGTGTCAAGTGCAAGGTGTCGCTGGATGTATAAACAGTTGGTAAGTCACTAATACCACGGCGTATTTTTCTTCGTTAGCGAGAGTGTCAGGTGGGGTGAGCGGGACACTGTGTGTGTACTATAAATAGGGAATTGTTTATTGTGCAATGTCTACATTCTTCTTTTTCCTTTACTGCCCGTTGCCGAAACTAGCATTGCATATCGCAGTGTGTACAGTGGCAATAGGCTGTGCGCTATTATGGAAAAGTAACCATTTGTTTCAGACGCCCTGGGACGTGACTAGGAACTATTGGGTTTGTGAAATGTTGAGTCCCTTTACGATTCACTTTTCACTGGGGGACACTCTGATGTGTTTTGTAATTGTGTGCTTTGGCCGGTCAGACCCAATCCTGTCCTACCCAACACCTACTGTCACCAATGTGTGTGGTTACCAAAAGCAGTTTCTTAACACACGTACACAATGTGTGTTAAGAAACTGCTTTTGGTGTGCAACTGCAGGAGGGCAGTGACACGATTTTGGTAAAGTACACTGTTTTTGTTTCAGGGCGTGTGTGTTGTATACCAATAGAGGTTGGTGTGTGAAACTTCGCAGTGTGAAATGAATAGACATTTGATGAAGGAAATACATGTGTATGAGTTCTGTGTGTGTGTTAACACTCACTCTCCATCCCGTCTCTCTCTCTCTCTCTCTCTCTCTCTCTCTTCCTCTCAGACCAGCTGCGAGAAAGCTAGAGGTGGTAGTGGGAGATGTCCTCAAGTCAGATCTACCTTACTTCAGTGTGTGTGTGGCCAACCTCCCCTACCAGATCTCTTCTCCGTTTGTCTTCAAACTGCTCCTTCATCGTCCATTCTTCAGGTTCAACCGCACGTTGGGTGTCAGTCGTTGCATCTTGGGCTGTTGAGTGATGCTTTTCATAGTAGTATGCTGCAAAGGTTTCAATGTTAGTGGTTTTAGTTTTACTGTTTTAGTCCGAGAATCTTCTGGAAAGAAGGGCTACTGTCTGTTGTATGATTCTTGCACAGGTGTGCGATTCTCATGTTCCAGAGAGAGTTTGCCCAAAGGTTGGTTGCTCGGCCAGGAGACAAGCTCTATTGCCGTCTGTCTGTCAACACGCAACTACTGGCCAGAGTCAGCCACCTTCTCAAGGTTTGCACTGGTCTCTCTCTCTCTCCCTCCCTCCCTCCCTCCCTCTCGGTCTACACTTCCTTCTCCACAAGTCATCTTTAATCTGTACATGAAACGTATGTGATTTTCATGTAACTCTCTACATAGTACAAGACATGAGCTCTCTCTCTCTCTCTCTGTATAATGGTTTCACACAGGTGGGGAAGAATAACTTCAGGCCTCCTCCCAAAGTGGAGTCCTCAGTGGTTCGGATCGAGCCAAGGAACCCTCCTCCCCCCATCAACTACCAGGTAAGACACTGTGTATACCATTCAGCTACCAGGTCAGTGTATATAACTGTATACCACTCTGCTGTGTAGGATCTTGTGTTCTTATATTTCACCGCAAGATTTTCTGCGAATTATTTTGAGTTTTAGCGTGCCGCTAAGCTGAACCGTTTCTGTCGTGAAAAGTTGTGATTCGGCTCGAGGGCAAGTTTATTTTTCTAAACATGCTGTATTTTTGCCATGGTTTACGTGGTCTTTGTCACCGAAAGAAAGCAATTGTGCGTTTCTGTGAAGGTTGCAGTCAGCTTTTCGCACTAAAATCCGCCGTTCACACAATGTATTTACAACCGCTGCAATTGGGATGGGGCAGGAACTTGGCGTTTTTCTCTTCTGCTGCCATCCACCAGTCGTTTGTACCGCCATATGTGACCTGGGCAGTTGATTCTACTTGGACAAGCTACAGACAAGGATGCAGTGCAATCCAGATGACGGGCTCGCTGCTCTGGAACAGGGACTCTCTGAAGTTGAATCATACGTCTGTTCGCCCGTTTACGACCTAGTGGAGCCTCTTTACCCATGCATCACCGCTCAGCACAGTTTTCCAGATGGGCATAATATGGTGTTCCTGCCTTTGGGCCACCATCATTTAGGAGTTGCTATAAATACGCCCAAGGTCGACAAGAGCTCCTTAGAACTTGAAGTTTTATGTGCGTTTGTGCTTAGGTATAATTATGTGCACCCGTGCAAGTTAATACAAAGAGTGTGTATGTTAATGAAGTCAAGAGGTTTATATGCAAGAATTTTTGCTACTCAGAAGCGTTTGAATAGTCAAAATATCTCCCGTGAGATGCTGTGTAGCAGTCAAATTGAATGCGCACCACATGTCTGTGTATAACAGTGTGGTGAATGAACATGTGCAGTGTAGTACTTTGACTAATAGCATTCCACAACTCTGCGGCTCTGCGGGCCGAGAGTGGCATGGAGTGTCCCATTGTTTTCAGACGGCGTGTGTGATTGTCAGGCTTTGTGTAACCAACAGCCTCTCTAGTCTGGGTGAGAATTGATCTATACAACTCCCATGCCTGTCCTGTGGGGCTACCCCGTGGGAATTCCGCATTCCCTTATGCATTCCGGGGCTGCACCAGTCATAGTAGCATAAATTAAAGTAATGCGTGTTTCTAACTCTGTAAAACTGCGCAGTATCCGTATGTGGGGACCCTATCGTGTGTGTCCTCCTCGTGTATTATTACAGTGTGTCATGTGGTATGATTGGGACATAGTGAAAGTTTCACTGGTGTTTTGACTTGACCGTTTGCCTCGTATATAGAACGTGTTGTCTGTGTCGCTATGCATGAGCTCACTTGCTCGATCATGTTTATGGTCTGTGTGGTGTGCGTGGCATATAATATCACTATTTTTCTTTCATGATTGTGTAAAGGGGGGAATTGTTACTGTTTGTCTGCCCCCATTTCAAATGATACGGTTGAAGACTCGCACTGAATACGTGAGACCTTTGGTAAGGGTGTAAGCTTGGCTCATCAATTTCAGCTAATGATCTGTTGTAGTTCCAGAAACTACTAGCGTGTCTAGTGTTTTTTCATGACATCACTGTAGTGAGCGGTTAAACACTTGCACATTGCACACATTGCACAGGCGTATTAATTTATTTTGTGAAGACGTAGCCACTGCTAATGTGAGATGATTGCCAAGCCTCAGTTGTTACCCTATGTTTTCTGGTCACGGTTAAGAATTCAATTAGGCACCCATGGGATGTGTGACTTCCATTTGTTGCATAATCGTGGGTAAGAAGAATGTATTGCTGGTGCTAGGGACATGTGCATGCGCATTGCTGGTGCACCTACGATGGAGTGACAAGACAGGAATTGAGAGAAGCATCGGAAAACAGGGAAGGAACACAAAGAGAGTGTTTGTGCATGTGGTGTGGGCCCGACACGTGGGTGCATTGATTGCACGTGCACAAGTGAGGCTTTGGAGAAGTTGGAAAGTCTAACGCTAAAAGAAAGTAGCCACTGACCCGGCTGAAGTATTTGTGGTACTCAGTTCCCCTGGCTCAGCATGTTGCGGGCGTGGGCTGCAAACCGCGAGGCTAAACGCGAGGGGGGGGGCGGGGCCGCCAGCCCATGGCCCTCCAGCCCTCCCTGCTTTCGTCCGACCTTCCTCGTCGCTAAGGTAGTTCCGCTACCCCATCCGCTTCTCCAGACACAGCCTCCCGCACCTGTATCTGTTGCCTTAAGTCCGCTTACATGCCTGCTTGCGTGCGCCTCCATCTGTCCGTCACCTGTACCCACGCTTCTCACACTCCTCACTCTCTCTCTCCGTTGCTTGTTCTAAGTTTTTGTCAAGAGGGAAATAGAGCATTGTGTGGTGGAGTAGGAATGCAATGAATCAGACTGAAGGGGATCCATGGAGGAAGCTGTTCTCTCCCTTTTACCGCCCCGATGAGGTCCCGACGCCTGCCTGGCGGCTGTCTGGAGCTCCCGCGGGCGGCGGGTCCTCTCGGGCTTCGGTGCCCCTCGCCTGCTCCACTCCCGGCTTTCTCGCTTCCCTGCCTGCCGTCGCCGGCAGCCCGCTGCTCCTACTACCTACAGTGGCCTGATCGGAGCGTCTCTCTGTTATCGGGGGGCGGCGGGGTGGACACCGTGACCCAAGCGGGGTGCATCCGCGCCCGCTGGGCTCGCGCGTCGGCGGGCGCAAACGCCACTGCGGGACCCTCGAGTGGCTCTGCTCTATCACGCTTTTTTTTTTTTCATCCCACACAACGTGCCCCTGTTTCACTGATCTGTTTCGCCACTCCCTCCTCTACCATATCCATTATTTTATTCTCTTCCGCGCACTCAGCCCGTTCAACATTTACATTCACCGACATTCTTCATCACCTCTAGTCAGCTATCCACCTTATTAGCCTTTCATTAGCTAACCGCTCACTCATACTGGCAGTTATAGTGCATGAGAGATTAAATTTTTACTTTTCCGTCTGGGGATTCAGTGGGTTATGTACTTGTCATGACTGCTTGTTTTTTTCAGCATGTGAATCATTAGATCTATCCCGTCTTTTATTGTTTCTTCACTGAGCTATGCTATCTAACACTGGCATGGTAGTTTTATCTGTACACACAGGGTTTTTGGGTACATAGTTTTGTGGAGAAGGTTGATTGCAACGTCTAGAAACGAGATGGTGACTTGTATCGCATATATATGTCTGGTGTGGTATGCGATAGTGTATAATCTTACAACTAATGCTGTAATTGTGACTCGTGTGTGTGTGATGTGTGCGCGCAGTGTGCCATTAGAGCTTGGGTTCTGTTGCTTATGGTCCATGTCGTTATCTATTTTTATCTTGAGACACGCCAGTAAAATAGACGGTTTTGCCACGTGACAACATATAGTCAATGTTGGAGTCATAGTCTGTAGGCCTAAGTGGAGACTGGCCTATTTCCTGAATCAAACATGCACAGTCTAATGCACACATACTTGTCGCGGATGAGTGTGACAGGCTCTATATCGTTTTGTGCCTTGTATTTATATGCACACAGTTTGCAAGTCACAGCAAACATTGTTACAAATTATTTTATTGTTTGTATTGTGTCCACAGAATGACTCATTATGCACTTCCACACCTGAATAGTGGCTAGGCCCGCCCGAACTCTGTACATATGTTTGCCTAGATTAAGTAATTAAGTGTGAGTCCACTGCCAATTATGGCTGACAGTGGCATAGCAAGGGTGTTGTTGTTTCGTATGTTGTAATTGAGTAGGCTTTGGGTGGCGTGTGTAGTGTTTACACTTCCTGCTTCGTTTGCCTGATTCTTTCAGCCGTGTCTACCATACCTTACCTAATGCACGGTCTACTTTACTAGCTGGACCAGGGGAACTGTGCTGATCTTGGTACTCTACTAAACTGACAGATTTACTAGAAATATCACTCGACATTCAGGACATAGACAAGATGTGTGTGTGCATGGCACAGTGTAGGAGGAAATATAGATGGCGTCAAACAACCACAATGGGCTTACTCGATGGGACTGTCATGATGCGGGAGCTGCGTGCTCAGGCGACCGTGCATACGGAGGTGCACAACACACGTATGGGCGGTTCACCCCTCTTCAGTTACAACATCGTATACTAGAGGGATGAATGCAGGTGACACGACGGGAAGGGACACTATGTCTTCTCAGATTGACCTTTTGCGACAGGTAGTGTGGTGATTCCGTAGTTTGCGTGTACTGTGCTTACAGAGACAAAGGATGAAAGGTTGTGAGTTCCAGGAACGTTTGTACTGGTGTGTGTGTGTAATTACTCTCCACTCGTATATAGAGGTGTGCCAGTGTTAGTAGGATATTAGAATGGAGATACAACGAACAAAGTAAGGATGTGAGCTGTTGTTGGGAAACTACAGTACTACAGTACTACAGGGTATATACACCCAGAGGTCATCATGGGGTGGAATATTAAGGTTGACTATGACCCACTTCCTGTCCAAGAGCCCCCTTTCTGTCTACGGTTTGGTCCCTGCATGAGGTGAGGTGGTGAAGCAATGGACACATGACTGAAACCACACTTACTTCATGTGCATCGTTTTATGACTTATCCACCGTTGTAGGTATTCATACTACGTAGAGAGTATCGAAGGTGCGTTCATTTTCAACAGAAATTGGAGCACCAGTCTTGAATTTACGAAGGGGAAGCTAGAAGGGAGATAGGGGGAAAAGGGAAAAGGAAGTGGGTCCCACATACTGTACTACTCTTGTATGTGGTTAGAGACACTCTCACCAGATGTCTGGCTGGTTTCCTCCTCTAAGGACACCTCTGGAAAGGAACAAGTCAGGTCCCTCTTCCATAGGATCACATGATGTAATGAGATGTGGGGGGGGTGCTCCCCCTAACTTGTGTTCTGTGTAGCTGAAGTCAAAGAGTCCGACTAAGACAGGTGGCAGGTTAAATGGTTGGACTTTTTCTCTACTGTCGTTCTGAGTTACACAGGCTTCACTCATAGCCTACCTGGTG